CCCGGGTTTGAATCCCGAAGAAGGCATGGATGTTTGTAAATTTGTTTGTTTGTGTGCGTGCGGCATGGGAGCATTCTAAATATGCGGGTAGCCGAAAGTCCTCTCAAGAGGTTTCTGGTAGGGGAAGAAGGGAGAACCTCGCATCCGTTCCCCCGGGGTGCTTTCCATCAAAACTGGGGGCGAAAACAACCTTTTAGTTCGGGCGCCACTGTAGAAACTTTAGGTTAATTGGAAGCAGGAAGAATTGGATTGGATTAGATTATTCAATTATGGCAAAGCACACTTGGGCTATCTGCCTAAAGGAAGGGATGCCTTCGTGGAGGACTTTCTAAGGGAAACTGGCTGGTATATACGTTACACATTGGGAAAACCACGAAAACGTCCATGCACCCAGCCCGTTCGTGAGATTCGAACCTCAGACCGAACTACCAGTGTTCAGCGTCTTTACCGCTCGGCCGCTGGTGAGCTGCAGGAAGAATGAAAAATGAGCAAACGCCTTCGCCGGGAATCGAACCACGGACCTCTCAATTACGCGCTGAGCGTTCACACCACCACACCACGAAGGCATGCCAAGAAGCCGGGAGAAATACCTTATAAAACGCTGCATGAAAAACAGAATTTTGTACTAATGCTGGTATCCAGTTTTACAATGAAGTATCAGAGCTTCGAAGTACTCCATACGGATTTAGGATACTTTTCAAAAATTCACACATACTGAAGTCGGGTTCTGGTATTTGGACACCATCATGATGTGCCACCAGTATTTGATAAGGTAGCCGTCTAAGGTAATAAAATTATAATTCTACTAATATTACCTATCGAAGTACAAAATTCGTAACAATGTGTAAGGCAATAACGATGCGATTGTAAATACATAGATTACCAATTTTCACATTCAAGAATTAGTTGAGGTACTCTCAAAAGAGAGTCTGACTTCTGCAATCATTAACCCTATCGATTTCTTTCTCTAGCGCCATTTGAGAAAGATGATTTACTGGAGAAAAATCGTTTGCACAGTACAGAAAGGCCTACAACCTATCGCAGTTCTGAATTCTGTGCAATGATTGTGCAATGATTAATTTCCAATAAACCATATTGAGTTAAAGATGCATGCATAGAGCATACAATTTCTGGTTCTAGTTCGTTATCTCCATTGTGTGGAAGATATCTATTGTCTTGTAAGGCAAGAATTTAAAACCTGTTCGTTTATTTCCTTCCTGTAAAAAGTCAGATCATATTCTCAAGCTGATTACTAATAAAACTGTTGATCACTCAGATGCTAAATATTAAGTATTATGTACATCTTTCACAAAAAATGAAGCAGTTCGACATCTTACGTTCTAATAGTTCTGAATTCTGTGCAATGATTGTGCAATGATTAATTTCCAATAAACCATATTGAGTTAAAGATGCATGCATAGAACATACAATTTCTGGTTCTAGTTCGTTATCTCCATTGTGTGGAAGATATCTATTGTCTTGTAAGGCAAGAATTTAAAACCTCTTCGTTTATTTCCTTCCTGTAAAAAGTCAGATCATATTCTCAAGCTGATTACTAATAAAACTGTTGATCACTCAGATGCTAAATGTTAAGTATTATGTACATCTTTCACAAAAAATGAAGCAGTTCGACATCTTACGTTCTAATAGACCGATTCTCGAAATTTAACTTACGTTTTCCATATCTCGAAAACGTGACTTAGGATATGTATTAGATTTATATATAGCATTGTTCTAACATAAGTATTTTGACACAAAATGGGCCTTTTTCTGAAACAACATACCAATATTTTTCCTTATTTCTATTCTACGACTCAAATTATGCCAAACTGCCAAGGTTTGTAAAAATCGCACGAGTAGTTTTTAAAAAATAGCTCACAGAACTTTAGCTCCTCCATGTTAATTGAACTTAGTATGTATTTATTCATATCTCTTTTTTATTAAACTTATTTGAGTCTTCCTTCCATGTTTCGAAATTCAGATTTATTCCAAATAAATTTCGCTCATTTTTTATGATTTATATTTAAAATTAGCATTTTTAAATAATTTTTATAAATTTTTTGAAAAACATTTTGGATTATAACCTATAAAAGTTTTACTATCCTCTTAAAATAGATGTATTTCTAAGCATCCCTGTAAAAAATTAAGAGGTTTTTATTCAAAAATTCCTAAAATATGCATGAATTTACATTTTGGCGCATTTTGAAGTTAGGCGTATTCGTTCTAAGAGATAATAACGCCAAATGTAGTTTACGCACTTTGTTAAAACTATTTGAAAGTAGGAGCGATAACCTTTTCCGCTGGTATACAATGAACAAAATCCGATGTGTGCACCACATGACTTCCTTGTACGGAATATTAAATTATACCCATTTTTTCTTGCATTTTATTTAAACTTATTGTATTGAATTAAATCTACTTCGTCGATAGCGCATAAGCAAAATAGAATAAATGCACTCTTTAAAATTCACTCTATTTGTTTAAAATAGCGACACTCTGACCCTAGGTTCACTTAACAGCGTTACATTTCGTTCACTTTTTAACTCAGAATGCACAAAATTTATATCATCTTAAGAATTATCTAATCGTTGCCACATGTTCTATTTCAAATACTATAATAAATCTAAAACGATATATAAAAGAAATTAACCAAAGAACAACAAAAAAAGAAAGAAACAGCTTTTCACAGACGATTCAGTATTTCTCATTCAATTATTTCAGTTCTCACTTCGCAACAAGGCAAAAATATATTAAAACTCAAGCTGTCTGTATTGAAAATTATGAAGTTAATCTTAAAGACTTATTTCCTCGACAAAATTCCAGAATGGATTAAGCATGACTTAAGTCTCAAAAATAAAAGAAGGCGTTATCTTTGTTATAGCGAAGCTTACTTTCTCTAGATTGACAACAAATCTACTGTTCTGCTGTTCTGCTGTTTCAAATGTAAACAAGCAATAAAAGAAAGCAATGGCCGTCATAAAAAAAAACTATTAGGCTTAGCGGCGTTTAAAATACTTTTAAATTGGTGATAATTCTAAAAATATTGCATACAGATTTACTAAAGGTATAAAAACCTTAAGCGGAAGATATAAAAAACATAATTCATTCATTTTTAAAGCAAAAAAATGCACAATTTACAAACATATAAGAATAAAAAAACTGAGCTCACTAAGCCGAGTAACAGAGTGGATATATATTATATATATATATTTTTGCGGCCGATTGCAACCAAAATGCGAGGTGTGCATCTACCTGTTATAGCAGTCCTATATACAAAATTTCAACGTTCTGAGGCTACTCATTTTTGAGTTATGCGAGATACATACGTAGGTACGTACGCACAGACGCCACGAAAAATTCTCTTTAGAATTCATTTTAAATTAGTTTTACATTTTTTTTGGGGGGAAAAGAGTCCTTTATCCTGTCCTTAACGTCGAGATGTCAACGCAAAAACATCCTTAAATTGCATCGTTCGATAGCGGTGAAAATGGATATTTTGCTTTGAAATAGGCTGCCTGAAACTTTTCGCAATTACAATACAGTAAGACCCCGCTTAACGCGGAGGATACGTTCCATCGAAGTAGAGCGTAATGCGAAACAGCGCTAAGCGAGGCTATCTTAACATGTAAATAATGGGGTTAGGGGAAGACGGATAAAAAATGGTTAGGCATTAAATTTAATAATTTTTTAATAAAAATAAAATCAAACATTTATTTCTTACAAAAATAAAAACAATATAAACGCATATACTTTTAAAAACAAATAAAATTCTCAGTCAGATCATTCAGTCTATTCTGGATTTCCAATTTTCTGCCTTTTTGTTAAGAAGGCATTATGATAAATTGGCTTAATGGCATATTGCGTTCAATTTCGTCGTCAATCCATATAGACAGTCGTTTTTCCATTTCCTCTATAATGTTATTTCTAGAACGGGTAATTCTAGTTGCAGAGCTTGACGTAGTTGCAGTTGCCGATGACAGTATTTTTTCTTTATTCTTAAGAATTGTCCTTATTGTTGAAGTTGCAAAAATCAATGCAGCACTAATTTGAGATTGACGTTCACCAGAATCTAATCTTCTAATCACTTGCATTTGAGTTTCCAGTGAAATGCTTTTTCGGGTTGCTTTCTTTTTCTTGTTTTTTATTATCACCCATGATAAAAACTAAAGATCATAATATTTGTCACTGTATTAATCGTTATAGAATTATACAAATTTAAACTTACAATAATGTCAACAAATGTTTCAAATGATTAAAATGCGTCCACCAAGCAAGAAACACAACTACACTGTTTCGGATATGTTATTTGGAAACCTAGCGCTGCGCACAATTTCGGAGAATTGCCGGGTTGAAATAAAAGAGCGCTAAACCGAAACAGCGCTAAACGAAACAGCGTTAAGCGGGGTCTTACTGTACTTCCTTTTTACTTCGTACAAGGAAGTAAAAAGAAAAGAAAATAGGTTACTATGAATTAAGAGTTTGCCAAGTGAATTATTCTTGGCACATACTGAAAAAAATGAGCCAAGGTAATTTTTTTAATTTCTCCATAAATTGTTCACCCAAAATTACAAGATTTAATATCTAATGTTGTAATTTTGCATTATTTGAGTTGTATAATCGAAATAAGGAATTGGTATGTTCTTTCAAAAAAAGTATTATTTTGTGTCAAAATACCTATATTAGACAAGTGCTATATATAAATTTAATATATATCCTAAGTAGCGCTTTCAAGACATGGAAAACGCAAGTTAAATTTTGACAATCGGTCCAGTAGAATGGGAGCTATAGAACTGTCGCTTTTCTGTGCAAGATGTACTTGCTAACAACTTCTGTAGCGATAAATCTCTTGTTTTAGAAATGTTATTACTTGTATTAATATTATATAACATTAATTCTGTAACATTAATTCTTTGAAATGTAAATTTCTATTTATGTTTTGAAATCTGTTCGCCATTTATTATTTCTCATTCACGTAACTGATTTTTTTTTCTTTGTTTAAGGAATCCAATGAAGAAGATACATCTCGAAACAAGCTAGACTCTTTAAATTCGCTCCTGCCATTCGATTTAGAACAAGACTCGGAATATAAAAGAGGTAGTTCGTTTTTTCCACTGAGAGGCAAAAAGTTATCGCTCGATGAAGCTATTGCTGCTCACCAACAGCTGATGTCTGACCAAGAAGATAAACGAAGTCAATTTTTTCCTCTAAGAGGGAAGAAGATTCCTTTCGAATTAAAGAGAGCGAGCTATTTCATGCCAATGAGGGGCAGAAAAGATGAAGGCTGGATGCCAGACGATATTCCGGAAGACAAGAGGGCATCCTCTTTTATGCCCATGCGAGGTAAAAAGAGCAGTGGTGACTCAACTTACCAACATCTCGGAAAATCTGGTATGTATTCCAGTGACGTAACTGAAGTTCTATATCCCTCTAGCAGTTACAACAACCAGATACCAGGTAAAAGAGCTTCCTCATTTTTGCCAGTAAGAGGAAGGAGATCTGAAAAGGATCCTCCAGAACCTCTTCAAAATGATGACATATATCCCGTCGGCAAAGAAGGAAACGTAACTTCTCAACAAGATGCGCCAAAAGATCATGTAATTCAGAAAAGATCCGTATCTTTTATGCCAATGAGAGGCAGAAGAATATTTTCCCCAGAAACCCCTAACTCTTTTGGTCCTGGAGAAATCACTACAAGTTTACTTGACAAAAAGCAATATTCTTTCATGCCTATGAGAGGTCGCAAATTCTTTCCTTCTGCAATAAATGACAGTTCCTTAGATGGCCCAACACCTATATTTCCAGCAGACAAAAAGGCAGCTTCTTTTATGCCAATGAAAGGCATACGCATATTTGAGCAAGAAGACGAACAGCCCAATTCACTTCAGTCTGTTGCACACGATGTGCCTGAACCAGTATCAGACAAAGAATATGCAGACTACTCAGATGAAAAACGAGCATCGTCATTCATGCCCATGAGGGGTCGCAGAATCCCTTTGGACGAGGTTCCGAGTTCTGGTTTCATGGATTGGACTGAAAACAATGATGACTTGGAAGAAACAAAGAAAGCGTCGTCTTTTATGCCAATGCGTGGTCGTCGAGTTGAGGTTCATCGAGAAAACAAGTCTTTTCCCATTTCGGATGGTATAATTTCTAAGCCAGATATTAAAAGATTATCCTTTATGCCAATGCGTGGACGTCGCATCTCTGAAGATCTGCTGGACATTGACGACAAGCGAAGATCTTCTTTCATGCCCATGAGAGGTCGCAGAATCTCTCTGGATGAGGTTCCGAGTTCTGGTTTCATGGAGTGGACTGAAGACAATGATGAATTGGAAGAAACAAAAAAGTCTTCTTCTTTTATGCCCATGCGCGGGCGTCGAGTTGATGATGATCCAGAAAACGAGTCTTTTTCAATTTCAGATAGTAGAAGTTCTAAACCAGATATTAAAAGATTATCCTTTATGCCAGTGCGTGGACGTCGCATCTCTGAAGATCTGCTGGACATTGACGACAAGCGAAGATCTTCTTTCATGCCTATGAGAGGACGTCGCCGGAATTTCTCAGATGTAAGTGATTCTCATAGCTATTATAATCCTTATCCGTATTTCATGGCCGGCATTGGATCGTCTTTTATGTCAAGACCCTATCGTAATGGGCGGGTAACCGTCAGTTCCATTCGAGATCTTGCCGACAAGAAAAGAAGACTTAAAATCAACTGGGACTCCGTAAAGAGAGCATTCCATGCCACTCGTGGCAAGAGGTTCAGTAAAGTGGATGATTTCGTAAATAAGTTGAAGGAAAACTACATTTATGGAAGTCAAGATTTCACAAATGAAGAAACGGACAACAACCAAGACAAACATTCCAGAAAGAAAAGAAATGTCGTACAGCATCGAGTATCATTACAGCCACAGGGACAGTATATAGGTATCGTGTTTTTCGGATGTCCATACATGTAATGTTTAGGCAATAAATCAACGAAAAAATATTTAATTATAAGTAAGCATTTTAATGGAAAAGGCAACATTTTAAAATGGCAAATAACACTCAATGTTTGGAAACATTAATTAGAAATTTAGATTGGTGACTAAACGTAAACCAATGCTATTTTCATAATTGTAGCTTTAATTAAATTTGAAAAGATTTATGGTTCTTAAATTATTGATGTCTTTCTCAATAAGCATTGCTATTTTAAATTTTATATTCTAAAAAAAAATAGTGTGAAAATCGGTTAAAAATCTGCAAGGTTAGCTAACACAGTCAACGAGTTAAATTAATCATAAATATTGAAATTCTATGAAATTAATTCAATGAAAGAAGATTTATTTTTTGTTCATATTTTCAAAACCATTATTATGTTAATTAAAATAATTAAGTTTCATAATGGGGTCAATAAATGAACATATTATGGAACAATACACAAAAGTGATCAGCAAAGAATCTGGCAGCTAATTGCACATGCAAGTTCAAGCCGTATTTTGGTTTAAACTATGATGAAAACACAAACTTAAATGTTAATAGATTTAATGATGCTTGTTTGCCTAATTTTACGTTAGCGTGTTTCTGTTTCAAACCGATCTGCAAAAAAATCAAAGTAAATCCGTCTCGAACTGTAATTTTATCTATCAGCACTATCATTGTAAACTCTAATTTTATCATCAACTGTAATTTTATCTATTAGAGGCTGTTCACACATTTTTAGACGATGTATATTGTATTCACAAAACTAAATTACATAAAAATTGTTGTGTTTTAAATGTTCTATTTGACATCCCTTATTCTGAACTATCTTTCGACACCGCAATTTTCAGGATAATAATGCCTTTTGAAGTGGCATAGAGGTATTCTATCCCATTTCTCCCGAACAGCTTTCCAGAGTCCTGTTAGGGTTTTGGGACAACGTTTGCATAATACAGTTTTTAAAAGTCCGAAAGCACAAAAATCCATAGGTGACATATCGGGAGATTTAGTAGGGATACCAGTGAAGGGTATGGCTTCGATACCAGTTTTTTTGTTCCATTTCTTTTAGGAAATTTACAGTGGATTTTGATGTGTGACCGCTAGCTTTGTCCTGGTGGAGTCTCATAGATTGATGGCACTGTGGGTAAAGCGATGGTATTTCATTCAGAAAATTTGGCGATAAAATATGTTCCTGATAGTATTTGCAGTTAATCTTGACTTTTTTTTTTGCACTCTCTTTATTTTTAACTTGCCATTATAAAAAAAACCAGCAACAATCATGAATCCCTTAGAAAAACTTTCTTTCGATTCTTTGAACCATGTACTTAAATTTTTTTCTCCCCTTTTATGATAATAAATGGATCTTTTTTGTTACAATCATTTAAATAGACCCATGCTTCATCTATTGTGACAATTGTTTTTCATTTTTCTTTGGATAAGTGTTTATCATATAGATTTCTGCAGCGTGTCCTGCGTTGAGCGATATGCTTTGGAAGAAGACGATGCACATTGCGTTTTTTCGCTTTCTTAAGATTTAAATCAACGTTTATCATTTTGTTTACAGTGTACACCGAGCATTTTAATGATTTTGCAACTGTCCTTTGACTAGGGGGATTTTCTTTTAACATTAAACAACGTAACTTTGCAACTGTCGAAGATGTCCGTTTTTTCCTTGGATACTTGTTTGGAATTTTTGTCCCACTTGAGACTCCAATTTTACGTCTTTTTCCCTTTCTTGTTGATGATATTACCTATCGACGCTTTAGATATCACAAAACCATGACTCTCACATCGTTTTTGGATAACGGAGTATGCATATTTCTCTTCGGAAAGAGCGTAAATGTAGCCTTCGAACCACTGCTTTGTTGAATTCGCCATTTTGAATAAAAACAAAACTTTCAAGCCGCAGACGATAATTTTGACTTTTAAAAACATACTACAATTGCAATTACTTCTTTTGCAGCAAGCGGTTTTTTATTACCGCTTACCAGAATCGTCTAAAAAATGTGCGAACAGCCTCTGTATTTCTATAATTTAATTGTAGAAATATATTTAATATATATGGTGCATCTGAACAAGAAGGCAAACTTTAGGGGGTGATATAATTCAGCTTTACCAGCAACATTCGTCATAGAATGTACGGTCGGAACGCGAAGGGCGACCCGCTAGGTGGCATTGTAAATAAATGGTATAGAAAGTGTCGTTGCTCGCACCCAACGGCATTTGATACCGTGGGTTGTCGAGAGGATTGCTGGTAATAGGAACCACAAAATTCCCAGGGCGATGGATTGGTCGAGGTGGTCCCATAGCTTGGCCACTAAGATCGCCGAATCTCTAGAGTTTCGACTTTTTCCTGTGGGGCTATATGAAAAGCCTAATTTTCGAGTCCCCCATTGAAACCAATATGGATCTAGCCGTTGTTACCGGCGATATCAGGGAAATCCCTGATGTCTTCGCAAATGTGGGTCAATCCCCCTTATCCCGCAGGTGAGAAGCTTGTATCACGGCTGGCGGCCTCGGGGGCACTTTGGTCGCTGGACTGCTATCCGGATGAATAGGGTGCTGAGTCTGGGAGTCTGGTGCGAGTCTCACATATGGCCTCTTCTGGCCTTGCTCTGGATGTTGGAGGATGGAGCGCTAAACCAATTAACCATAACGGTAAAGGGATGATGCCCACGTCCCCCGTTCCTAATCCTAATCACGACTGGAGGAAGTTCTTTTGAGCAATTTCCATGTGCATTTATGTTAATAAAATGCTTTTTGAAGTATCTCATCTCATTCTTGTGTTAATTCTTTAAATGTGACAGGGGAAAACTACCCTGTAAGTTCTCACGGTTTTGGGTTCAAACCATACATTCCATGACGAATATTGCTCGTATATCTGCCATCACCCTAAAGGTTTGCCGCTTTTTCCCCCCTGAATACATATATTTCGAAAACGAAGTAAAATAAAAAATCTTAATATCTCTTAAATAATCGCATGTTTCGAATTTCAGAAATCCTGTTTTGAAAAAGAAAGGGATTCTTTAAAGTTAATACGTTAAATTTTCACATTGAAAGTGTTTCAAGTTGATAACTTAATTATGAGCAATTAAGTTAAAGGTCACTGAATCAACTTGAAATCAGTCCAAAACTTCGTTGAATAAACTTACTCCTAAAATGGTCAAATTTCATCTGAGGTTTATTGCAGTTTTTTATGGAACAGAACTGAAGTCTTTGTTGGTTTTGGTCCTTCACTTATTATCAGCATTTCTGTATTAAGTAAATTAAGATCGATATAATCCTTCAATGAAATGTAAAAATTTAAAACTCTCTCTTGGGCACAGATATGAAAATCCATTGTTAAAGCATTTCACGTTGACAATTTCTTGTCTGCACCGTAAGATGTACACTGAGCCAAACAAAAAAGGGACAATTCTACATCTCCCGTTCTAATTGGGCCGACTCAAAAAATTCATGTTGAGATTTTCATGTCTCGAAAGCTCGACTTAGGACATATATTCGATTCATATATAGCATTGTTCTAATATAGACACAAAATCGGACTTTGTTCTGAAATAACATACCATTTTTTTCCATATTTCAATTCTACGACTCAAATTATGTCTAGATATTAAATTTTGTAATTTTAGTGAGAAATTTATGGAGAAATTAAAAAATTTATCTTGGCGCATTTTTGTAGTTTGCGCCAAAAATAATTCACTTGGCGAAATTCTTAACTTATAGTAACCTACTTACTTTTCTTTTCATTGATGCATGAGGGGGAAAAACTTCCATCATTCATTCTTTCAAATAATTTTAACAAAGTGCGTAAATCACATTTTCGATATTATCGCTTATAATAAATATGCCAAATTTCAAAACGCGCCAAACCGTAAATTCACAGATATCTTAGGATACTTTGAATAAAAAAATAATTTTTTGCAGGTTAGCTTACAAATATATTTTCTTTAAGATGATAAAAATTTTGTAGATTATAACTCATAATTTTTTCAGAAAAATTATTTAAAAAAAAACAAAGTTTAAAAATAAATCATGAAACATTGGACGAATTTTATTTGGAATGAACTTGATTTCGAAATGTGAGAGGAGGAATCTCAAACAAATTTAATAAAAAAAGAATGAGAAAAATTAGGGTTTTAAAAAACTAAACATGGCTAAAATATATGGACTGGTTTGTGTTGAGCTGCCATCTACTATAAATAAAGAAGGTTCAGAGTAACCTATAGTAACTTATAAAATCCTTTTTCATTCAATTTTTCTGTGCGTACAGAAGGAAATTTTTAGGTGCAAAGGGTTAACCACAATTTTCCTACGGACTTATACGAACTTACCTAAAAGACCTTCATACTTCTGAATAATCTCAGTTCAAGGTATTTTACGGCGACGAGGGAAAGCATGTTTCCGAAACAAATGTCCAAGTCATTATTCCACAATCCATCTTCTCTGCTGCCTTAGCTAGCCAGTCTAAGCTAATTCCCCAACACTGGGAACTAATCAGCCTTCAGATATATATCAAATTTATGTTGCTTTATGTATCAATTTATGATAACCCTAACTCTTAATTTAAATAGTTTTAACTTATTGATCAGAGTATGTAAGAGTAAGAGTATGTAGTATATTTAACTTATTGATCAGAGTACAGAGGTTGATCTAAAATTTAATCAACTTTTAAAAGCTTTTCATTTTAATAAGATTTTAGTGTATATCATTTAATGCATAGCGCATAGTGTATAAAATCAAATGTTATTAAGGAATTCTTTAACTAGATCCATTTAGAGCATCATCTATTAAAGAACCAATATACCTCATAATAAATATTGAATGTACACTAAGGAAAAAAAAAGGGGGGACCAAAAAAAAGGGGATATCTCCCGTTCAACTCTGATGATTAACGAAATCCAACTTTCATTTTTCATGTCTCGAAAGCATGACTTAAGATATATATATATTAGATTTATATATAGCGTTGTTCTAATATAGATATTTTGGTACAGAATCGGACGGTTTCTGA